TACTCTCATTTCTACATTATTATTGCAATTAATAATATACATTATAATGTTTTATTACACTTACTTGTTAGTGTGTCTTCTAATTGTTTCTTTGTTTTTGTTTCTTTCATTAACTGTGTTTTAATTATTGTCATACTTGTATCAATTGATAATATATCTGAATATTATGCATACATGCATCAAGTATTAAAAGCATTATACAAATTTATAATTTTACTTTGATGAGGTGTTGCTTCTGTTTCTTCCTCCTTTTCTTTTTCACATAGTATGTTTATTAGTTGTTGTGCAGTTACATTCTCTCTCTATTGACTAAAAATAATAAAAAATATCAAAGAAATTATTATACGTTTGTATCACTAGATTGTTTGTTTGTATTCTTTACCACTTCTTCAAGTGGTTCCTGCATATAACAATAATTACTGACAGTATCTAGCATGTATACACATACTTCTATTTTTTGCTTGCTCCATATTGAACAGAATCCAACAGTAAGCTTTGTTAGACCATTTTTTATTAATAATTCAAGATTCTCACTTAACTTTATAATGAGAGCTCCAGTGAAAGAGTAAGGAAAGGAGCAGGTGACCACAATGGAGTATCCAGTATCAATATACTTTATTTTCACAAATTTACCAGACGTCTTGGAAAGAATATCGATAATATCTTTTAATTTCTTCTCATCAGGTCTCCAGTCAAAAACGTAAGTTGCCATTTCACATTTAAGAGAAGGGCTTGTATCAACAGCATCAAATTTCTCCTTTAAGCAAAGATCAAGTGACATTGAATGACAGAACTCTTCCAACGTTGTCTTGTATTGTTCAATGTATCTTTCTGCTTCGGTGACTTCAAATTCTTCAACTACAGTTTCTAGCAGTTCAATATCAGTCAATGAGCACTCTCCTTCAATCACATACACTACACTGGATATATCACAACAATTATCTAGCTTTGCTTTTAGATCGGAATTAAAGAGGCATATGAGAGACTTTAGGTCAATAAGAGGCGGAGACTTCTGTGTGATAGCTTTTGACACTTTAAATAACATTCTAGCAAGAGAGGCTCTTATTGAAGTGAATCGTCGTGAGTTACTTTTTCGAACAGGAATTTCAACTAAACATAAATGTTATTTTAATATTTTAATAATTACAATAATGAGATACCTGTTGGTGTACTTGTGGGTGATGATGATGGTGTGATTGTTCTAGTGCTTGATGTATCTACAATAATAATTAATAATAATGCTTTCATGACTGCTTCTCTCTCTTTTTTTCTCTTTTCCTTTTTCT